CACGTGGACTGATAAACGGCGTTGGATAAGACATAAAAACAATATTCAAAAGGAATATGCCATCAATAATCATATCTAAAATAACAAAAATAACATAAAATCAAGTGGAAAAAAATTTTAGACTCTCAGAAAAACTCAAACAATTTCATTTTGAAAAAATAGCTTTCTTGAAAAAAGAATAAAAAATTTATGAGATGACATTCGATAGAAATCTTCAATATAAAATGATATTGAAGATAGCTTATTTTTTTTAGTCAGAAAGCTGGAACATTCTACTACAACAGGAATTCTAAGTTTCATGGAGGAAAACAATTTATGAAGTGATAAATTTAAGAAGAATAACAAGTAAACATATAGATATATACATACATAGATCCATTATCTCTTCTTGAAGCCTGTTTTTTCTCAGTACTTGGACTATGTTTTAAATGAGAAATAGAAAAGCTTGTGATTGAAAAAGAAATTATTTCGATGAAGAGCATATTTTTCATATTTGATCTAGTTGGTTTTTAATGATATTATTTGGTGGGTGAGGAGAAAGAATTAGAAAAAAAAAGATCGATATTTCTCGAAAGATAACTTAAGTCACAATAAGAAACAGTAATAAAGATACAAGGAATTGGATATAATTGCGTTCTTTTGCTGTTAGGAGAAAAAAAGAAATTAATATTATGTTTTATTAAATAAGAATCATTTTCAACCTATTAAAAGCGATTATGTTTTTAAGAGACTAATAGTGTTACAGCTAAATAACAGGAATCAAATAATTGAATTGTACCTTAAGAAATAAATACTGTTCTAATTTTTTTTAAATTACTTCTGAATTTAAAAATAAAGTTATCAGTAAATATTTTATTGACGAGAAAAGTCAAAGTTGTTGCTGTTTGAATAACAACTATCGTTCTTTTTTTCTTCTTCATATATGTATACATAGCTATGGTCGTCATACACACTTTTGATGAGACAATAAAAAAAGTACAAAAAGGTTTGATTCTCGCTGAAAAAAATATATTAATGGCATTTTTCGGTAATTGTCTAATTTATCGAAAACAAAGATTTCGTAATTTCTCAAATGGAATTCAGAAAATACTTAGATACAATGTTTAGTTCATCTGATTTTTTATTAAGGATTTTATTTAGATTTTGATATTATGAATTTAAATTGTTTAGAGTGTATGTGTATTTTTTTATCTCAATGATGGATAGTACAAGATTTATCTTTCCTAGGATTACATTTTGAAAAATATTGTTTTTCTATATACGACTGTCTGTCTCGTATCGATATATTACAAGGCACAATGAATAATGATCGTTCGTGTTCTCAGTGTATACGAAGAACACGCATGAAACAAAAAAAGCGCGAGAATTCAATAAAGAGAGAAATGAAATAGAATCTTTTAGCTGTGTCATTTATATTTAAGATATCAAAATTTTACAAAGCTTATTATTGATTCTTATCAATAATTGGTGTGACACAAGAGATTTCTTGATTTTAAATACGAAGTAAGAAAAGAATTTTTTAAAGTTATTTCTATTTTGATAAGAAGAATGACGAATAAATCATTGAAAATCGAAGTTGATGTTTCAATGTACGAATCTATTGATGAATTGAAAGATTCACCAGCGATAGATAACATTATGAGTAAAGTGGTTGATATTTTGAAGAAAAAAGGGCAAAAAGCAAGTAATTGTTCACTCCTTAAGTATTGTAAGAATGCAGTTTCTCTTCTTTGGTCTAAAAAGAAAGAAACTTCACCAAATCTGTTGATCGTTTACTTACCACTAAAGGTTCTGGAATATATTCAAGATACCGTTGTACCCAATGTATCTTCTGATGAGGAAGTATCAGAAAGTGGTGTTGATAATGAGAGTATTGATAATGTTACTGATTGTCAATTACCATTACCTGTTTCTAGTAGTTCTCATATTTCTTTTTCAGTTCGTAATAATATGTTAGAAGCAGAGGCTTCTTTCGAATATCTTCTTGATTATTTTAAACATTCTCTTTCTATGAATAGTAAATCGTTGAATTTTGACAAAATACTCAATGATATATGTACATATGTTTTTATTGAACTCAAATCTTCCGTGAATATACGTACATTGAAAAAAGAAATAAGTCTACAAATAAGTCATATCGTGCAGTCAGCACGATACCGTGCTGCTGACAAAAGTATCATAAAAACTTTGCGTATTAGCGGAAATTTTTCTCTAGTTTTTAACTGTATGAGTCCTTTGAATAAAGCTCAATCGATAAGAGAATTCTGCCAATTTCGAAACAACATTCCTTTAGGTCCAATTCTTTTACATCGCACGTTTAATGAAAAAAATGACATTTTACAATTTTTTCCGTTTTCAAACACAATCGAGGTTACTTTTAATGGAGCATGGATAGAAAGAGTTTTATCTGCATTCGATTTCGTTGGAATCATTGATGTTGATGATCTTTGTTATCTTATTAATGAATGTGCTTCCACATATAACCTGAAATTAGACTTCAATAATCTTGTAGAAACACTAAAAACAGAGATATTGTGTTGTCGTACCAAATCTTCTTCTAATTCTAATTTTCTTACTGTTGTCGTGAGATGTATAGAACCAAATAATGTACGGAAAGATCATAGTCAAAATTCTATGAATGATTATCAATCTTTACTTGAGGTTGAAATGGATAGTATTGTTGGTCGTACATATGCTACGCGTGGTGTAAAACGTTCTTACGTAGAGGATTCCATTTCAATTGAACCTGATCGAAATTTGTATCGACTAAATAAAGAAATGAAAGATAAACGAGATTTGTTGCACCTAAAAGATACGTATCATCTTACAGATTCTGCTTTCAATGCTATTTTTCATTTTATTCAAAACAAAAAGAAGCTCTATTCCTTGAGCGAGATTGAAAGACTTCGAAAAGAAACAAATTCAAAATTTCCCATTTTCTTTACGACAACGAGTGCTTATGTTAAATTTGAATATGCTGTACGTACTGCTATTTTCGTTGCCCAATACTACGAACCGAACCTTGAGCAATTCGAAACACTTCATATTAGATTCAATATGGATGGGACCTTGATAGGAAATAAACATATAGTAGCGATATCCATTAATTGTATTGAAGGTGGTCACCCATGCCAAATGGCAACAAATCTAATACCTGTAGGCCTTTTCGAAGTACAAAAAGAAAATACAGAGTTGCTACGCAAAACTTTGCCAATTGAATTCATCAATGACATTAAATCTGTGAAACGAATTTCTATAGGAGCAAAAGATATCGATATTCTTATTCGATTAGGTGGTGATCTGATGAATGCAGTCTATGTCTTCGGCCTTTCTGGATTTAGCTCAAATTATCCGTGTATTTTTTGTACACAGCATAAAGATGACCTTCATGTAACAGAAGACACAGCGTATGATAAAACTATTTCAGAAGGAAAGGGGAAAAATAAGAAAACAACTACTGTTCATATTGGTCCTACATCTTATCATGATACATCTAAGCGAGCACGATCTCTTTTTGAGCAGGCTGCATGTTTACCTAAAAAAACAAACGACTTGGGATATAAATGTGAACCTTTATTTGGAGACCTCTTTGATTATCAAGATTATTGCATCGACACATTGCATATGAAGTTGAGAATTTTCGATGTTATTTTGAAAGATATTCTATCTCATGCTTCACGCACTGGTAAATATGGTGATGAGCACGTAGTGATTCTTAAGCAAAAAGTTGAAATTCTGAATCAACATTGCGACCGAACTGTAGGTAAACGTTTTTTCTTTCAAATAGACTCAGAGAATAACAATAAAACGATTGCTTCTCATGGGAAACTTTCTGGTCATCTTCAAGATCTTTTTTTCGTTGATAGCTTTCCCTATGATGACATACTTCGTGATGACATTGCTAAATCAGCTCGATTAGTTGTTAATAAATTTAAAGAAATTCTCAATGAGATTAGTCATAATACTATAAGAAGAAAAGGTGTTCTCAAGCGTTTATCTCTCGAGTTTGTAAAAGAATTTCGTCAAAGTGGTCTACGAACAACTGTTACTCCATACATTCACATAATAGGAAATCATTTATTTGAGTTTGATGAATTCAATAATCTTGGAGACTATAACATGCAAGGAGTCGAGAAAAATAATGATCTGCTTTCTCAACTTTATTTTTCATCTACGAATCCTGCCAAAAATCCACTTCTTACTATGCTCCAAAAATTATATAGAATGCTGGAGATGAATTTTCAAGATGAAAAAGAGAGAGATGCAATGGGTAAATTTGCTCGTACAGGTGTATATGATTTTGTGGAAGATAAACCATGTGAATCTGAAACGGATGCCGAAGATGATACTATCTTTTGTCGAGATGAGAACGAATATATAGAAAGTGAAGTTGAACGTGACGAGCAACTGGATTCATCTATAATAGCAACTGAAGAAGATAATGATGAAACAGAATTAGAAGATTCCCTTATATGGGAACCTGAAAAACGATTTGGCAATACATTCTTACCTCGCTCTCAAAATCGATTTAAAAGTTTCCGAAGATCATAGATATTTCTTTAAGCCTACATCAAGATAATTTTGTCTTACTTTTTATTTTGCAGTAAAAGTTTTGCTCTTCTTTAATATAGATGCACATTTTTTAAATAATAATAATAATAATAATAGCAGTAATAATCGTAATAGTATTAGTCATAATAAATGTAATAATAGTAATAATGCATATATATTGAAAGTTCCGCCCTAATCATAGTAAACAAAAGAAAAGCTTAAGAAAATTGCACTAATTTTTTAAAATAATTTATTCTAGATATGAATAATTGTTTCATTGATAGTTTATGTACGACTAGTATTTCATCTCATTGTGACCAAAGATGTGGTCGACAGATTCATATTCCATCTAATATTCCTATATATGACGGTCATATACACCTTAACCAAACTCTATCAAAAATTCAATCTGATTTTATATGTGCTCAATTAAATCCACCTATACGGGAATTTTATTTTATAAATAATAACCACAAGCCTGATGAATGGCTAATTCCTCAATCCAATCCTTTCTCATCTCATGTTCATATATATCCTACCGTTGGTATTCATCCCAAATACTTTAATTCTCAATCCTTATATAAAGTCTTAGATAACATGAGAAATCATCTCGAAATTTCTCATAATAATACCAATTCAAAAAATAAAATTGTTGCAGTTGGTGAGTGTGGACTAGATGAAACCAGTATTGCCCCTATCGAGCAACAAATATTCATTTTTGAAAAACAAATAGATTTTGCACTTCAATTTCATCTTCCCATCGTTCTTCACTGTCGTGGTACTCATCTCTATAGCCAATTATTTCATTGTTTGAGAAATCGAGTATCTAATACAAACTTAAAGTTTCATTGGCACTGTATAAACAGCAATTCTGATTTACGTATTATTGATATGTTTCTAAATCAATTTCCTAATTCATATATAGGTCTCAATGGGTCTATTACATATGAAAAAAATAGTGAAAATTCTATTTTATTTAATAATTGGTTAATAGATCGATCTCCATTTCTTCCTAATAGATTAATATTAGAAACCGACTATCCATACCTTCCACCTCGAAATCTTTATAATCTGTATGATCCATCATGTGCAATACTTGCTACAGCCTTATATCTACAGAATATGATAAAAGATCCTCGTCAAAGTGTCCTGTCCTTCCTCATCTCATCTAACTCCAACGTAAAGTCGATGTATGGCTTGTAAATTTCACCGTTACTATCTCCCCCTCCCCTATAGTGCATGAAACAAATTGATTTTGTCTTATTTTGTCTTATGCTTCATGTATATAATATGTATATATTGTTTAACTTGTATGTAAATATATAGATATGCTTGTTGTCTCTATCAAATTTATCAGTTTTATTTTGCTATTCAACTTATTATTTGAGAGCATTTCCTTTCGAATATCGTAAAAAAATTTCAAGGAACTTGCTTCTCCCTTTTCGTGTCTCCTCTCTCTCTTCGGCTCAGTCACTTTGCATATAAATTTGCGACTGAGATCGTTTGAGTCTGAGAAGCACGTCTAGCGAGAAGAAAATCGTCGATAAAATATCTTGCATGATATTTTTATTTTTTTTTTGCTGCTCATTCTTTGCTCCTTCTACTGATCATTCGTTTCAATAATCTTCTTTTTTATTTTAGACATTTGATTTCGTTAATTATTTCTTTTAAGTCCAATACTCCACACGTCCATCTAATTCACAAACATCAAATGTCGCCTTTCATTTCAAGCCAAGTTATATACTCTGAGCCATCCAATTCCATCAACATTTTTTAAAACTAATCCAAATCTATACGTTCTTCTATCATCTGCAACTTGCTTCCTACAATAAATATGGTTACAATTCGACATTATATTACTGCCAATGATTAAGAACATATTAACTAGCCTTCAGCATGATTGAAAATATTTTCAACTACGATTACTCTTATTTTTTTATATCTATCGTAGAAAAACTTTTTTTAATAAACCAAACCATCAGTTCTCACAAAATTTTCATAGGGATCATTCCTTTCAATGACAACCAAAGCATTCACTCCTTTTCCATTATTTCGTGATGATTTTTCTATGTAAACCTATTTCAAAATAACTACAAACTTCTTCAATTTTTTAGATCATTTTACCAATTTTTTCTTTTTCAATAATCTCACTAACTCTCTTCTTGTTCACAGCGCTTAATCAATTTTCAACAACGGTATTTTTTTTTCGCGAGTTCATAAAACACCTATCTTCTCAAGAAATAACTTCTGTCCAAAAAAACAATTTATAAGAATTAATAATAAAAATTGGTAAAACTTCTATGTCTAAAATATAAATGATATCGTTAGAAGATTCTATTTCATTTTTCTCTTAATCGAATTCTCGCGCTTTTTTTATATAATGAATGTTCTTCGTATATGCCGAGAACACGAGTGATCGTTATTTATTACGTCTTGTTATAAATCGATAAGAGACCGATAGCTGTATATAGAAAAACAATATTGTTCGAAATATTTTCATATGAAAATAAATCTCGTAATATCAATCATTTATATAAACAGGACATATACACACTAAACAATTTAAATTCAAAATATTATAATCTAAAAAAAAAGATTAATAAAAAAGAACAATGATTTAAACAACATTGTATGAAAGTATTTTTTCAATTTCATATGAGAAACTACGACATTTCTTTTTCAATAAATCATCTAATTACCGAAAATTTCTTTTTTTCATAGATATCTTTTTTTTTTCATCACAAACTCTTTTGTTTCTCCTTTAAAACATAGTGTGTTCATCAAAAATATTTTTTGACAAAAGATAGTAGATCTATTATTTTTCCAAAGTTGATTCTTTGAATCTTTCTGAGAATATACGATTTTTTGTAAACTTGATTTTATGTTATTTTTGTTATTTTAGATATGATTATTGATGGCATATTCCTTTTGAATATTGTTTTTATGTCTTATCCAACGCCGTTTATCAGTCCACGT